CCAAATGCGTATAACAAATCCGGCAAACGACCTCGTCGCACCATAGAACTGATCAGTGGAATTTGCCCCATGGGATGAAAGCCGGAACTGGTTGTAAAACCTGAAGAGGATTCCATAATGAACAGCCAAGTAGGAGGAATGGAACCATATTAATATTTTTGCCGTCATCGACATCGAAACTAAATAAAAACTGAAAGCATTGTTGTCCACATTATTCGCATCCGTCCCGGAAGCTATAGAAAGTCATTCAAAACTTGTTCTGCTGTCAGAATGGAAATTGAGCAACACGGACGATGACAGCAACCTATCTTTACAAGGCTACATTTCGCATTTGGAAATGAATGGTTATTCGTAGTTATTGATCGGCAATGGAAAAAATTTCATAGAGACATCCGAACCTGATGGTGATGCGTTTTGCCAAATTGGTGGCAAGTAACCGGTTGCCTAGCAACCGTACAACATCGGTCACAATAACAGGAGTGCAAATTCGTGCCCGCGCATGACGACAACGTCTTGTCGGTGTTGCACAGTTTTTTGTCACCATGTCGACAGTATGCTTGTGATCAAAGTCGCTCTTGCACTGTTCACGTTCGTTGTGCTGGGTAAGCAAAATTTTCTTCTATTCATTGTTAGATAGCAAACGAAGCTTTTATTGATCGGCAGCTGTTTCGTTCTAACCTCTAATGAGGCTTTAGCTAGAAAATTATTGCCATAGCCAAAGGCGAAGAATAGGCAGTTAGCTGAATTCATAGCAATAGGCTATTAACTAACTGCTTTCAAATTTATTTACGTCTTGTTTTCAACTTCAACCATATGTCACTTGCAAGAAACTTTGCCATAGGCAAGAAGAAAAACAGGAAGCTTTCAATTCATGATGTTTGAATGTAGGAAAATCGAACTGTCACTGCTTGGTTAGTTGATAAAAACCTGTTATATTTATATCAATTGTGATATTGTTCCTTCGTGTTTCGTTATGCCTTACAGACACACTGTTAGTTAATTACTTTTTGAAGTGAACAGCCGATGTGTTCCCGATATATTTATGAACTAAGCTCACCTCAAATTAAAATGGTTCTGCAATAGATCACCATATTGCCTCTTTTTAACCTCGTGCGAGAGACTCACTGAATAAGCGATGAGCATCTAGTCAACTCTGTCATGGCAGTAGAAGTCGACCATCGAATGAAATAATTTCGCATGCCATAAATGATAGTAAACGACTCGAGAGACATGTGCATCTAGTCGTTGATCTGTTACTCTGACCATTATTACGTCCACGTGACCTCTCTGTCACAGCCAATGTAAATTAGCCATGCAGTGCAGAAAAATTCCATAAAGTCGCCTCGGTGCTGGCAAAAAAAGAAAACACAACCATATCCCTCCATACAGCACAAAGCTGTATTACCGTTCACCTTTGGCCCTTCAATCCGGTTTGTCCATCTTGCAAATAAGGTAAAGGGGTCTGAAATGCACTTGTTCAAATCTGGCTAGTGTTCTTCGCCGTTCCTCAGTGTTGATCGTGACATCGATTGACTTTAGGAAGCGATGATGGTGCAAGGGCAACAATGTTGCCACAGTAAGCACTAATTTCGCAACTTTTCACATTTCCTCGATTTACATATTTCAATATCTTTCTCTCCCGTTCGCTGCAATGCAATATATAAAATTTAAGAACAAAAGGAGCAAAAAGGCAGAAACGCGCAACCTGCTGGTTATGACCAAAAGGAACACATAACTTTGCTAACATATTTACCGTTAAGAAGACTCACGAGACCTAGGGGTAGAAATATCGGTAATTGTCACTCACCAGATTGACCATCTTTTTATGCTTTGTAATAAGATAACTGTTTCCTATGCTGTTTTTCACTCGTTTGTAATTGATCCTTGGAAACTATGGAATTCTTGAAAAGAATTTCTCATTCTTTTAGAATATGAGAAAATGATATGCACTACATTTTTCTTCTTATTCGCCTTCGCAGCGACGGTCGGCTGGTATTCAAAGACGAATCACGCCGATCAACCGAGTTGTCATGGTGCATGAAGTTTTGCCACCCACTTGGAGGGCGGACGGTGGTCTCAGGAATTACCCTCCCCTGCAGC